CTGGGGTTTGTAAATGAACTGCAGGGGCTTCATGAGTTTAATGAAAAGCTAATAATGAATTAAATCATTAAATCAAGTCATTTTAGAATAACATCAATCAAAATAAAACACTTAAAAAATAAAATGTCTAATTTGTTTATCTGCATGTCATGTGACCATTAACCAACAGAGAACCATATATTATATAATATAACCAATAATTAACCAAGCAAGACATACGGACAATAGATTGTATACAAATGCATGCACACTAATGCAAGTGTGCAGACATTTCCACATTATATTGTCATAAACACACACACACACACACATGCAGAGCTGTGTGTGTAACGTAATCCATTACATTATACATTTTAGGTAATGTAATCAGACTACTTTTTGATTTAAATAGGATAATCTCATACAATATTGATATAAAAATAAAGAGAGTAAGAAAATACATTCCATTTGTTGTAATTAATAACATGAAGTGCGTTAAACATTACGTTACTTCAAGGTTTCCCAAACTGGGGTTTGTAAATGAACTGCAGGGGCTTCATGAGTTTAATGAAAAGCTAATAATGAATTAAATCATTAAATCAAGTCATTTTAGAATAACATCAATCAAAATAAAACACTTAAAAAATAAAATGTCTAATTTGTTTATCTGCATGTCATGTGACCATTAACCAACAGAGAACCATATATTATATAATATAACCAATAATTAACCAAACTTAATTATTAAAATATTTATTTTAAAATCGTAAAGTTTGGTAATGCCTACATTACATGTAAATAAGAAAAAAACGTGAATTTGAGTATTTTCAAATGTGTATGACTGAATGTGAATACACTGAGTGTATATAAGCGGTAGGCTATTTTAGAAAGGAACATTCAAAAAAATGAAAAAGAGGAATTAGGGAGAATCAATAAATTATGAATCATTTATTTCTATTGTGTGGTATGTGTTCATAATCAATAAAAAAGTAACCAGTCTGATTTATAATTTAATTTAAAATTTAATTTATTCTAATTACAAGTACTTAATTTTTGAAACCTGATTACATAATCCAGATAACATGTAATCAGTTACTACCCAGCTCTGCACACATGCACAGAGAAATATGAATATTCAAAATACATAAGTGACAATATTAGAATATGTGTGTGTGTTGCAGTGGATAACAGTGGTTGGCCCCATCTGTTTGATGCCTTCATGAAAACAAGGGTCCAGGAGTCGAAAGAGTGCAGTAAGTATTCCCATTTGTCCTCCCTCTTTTCCTCTTCGCTTGTTGTATCTTTCTCTGTCTGCATTGCTTTGAATGTATGTGTGAATTGTTTAAGGATAAACATGCAAAAAGACTACATACACAATCATTAAAGGCTGATTATGTTGTCTTGAATCCTGCTGCAGCACAATATTTCTCTACTATACAAAAATGACAGTGAGGTGTGAGCGTGACTTTCTGTTCACAGTTTTCATTTGTTTTCTAAGCTTTTTTATTTGTTTGCCAGAGCAGGGCTTTCAATATAATTTGTATAATACTCCTCTTAGAAACCCATGGTGTGTAAACCCATGAATGTGAGATGGGGTTAATACTTAACAACTCTCGGTTAGATGGAACAGGTCCTTTGAATGTTATCACTGGGTATTATCAATAGGTGTTAGAAACTGATGCTAACACTAGATGTTATTGTGTGGCTTTATCATTGGGTGTTATTTGGTATTAGAATTAGGTTTATTTCTTTATTTTCTTTTTCTTAATTGCCTATTGAACAGGACAGTCAAAAATGAGTTAAGAACGTAATGTGCACTTCCTCTGATTTTAAATCATTTTTCATAGAAGGGTATTTTTTATTCCCTTGAGAACTGCTGTGAAATTCTAGCAAACACTCTAAATGTATGCTTTTATTCCCTTGGCTAATCTTTTAAATTTGTAGAAATTTCTTTCTAAAATAACCTTATGTGACACTTCTCAATTGATAGAACTATATAAATATGCCTCTTACAGTGCAGCTTCAAGAACTCATTGAGTTGTTTGTCCCTCTTTCATCTTTGAGTGCCAGAAAGAAGGACACAGACAGGCAATGTGTTTAGTTTGGTGAATTTATTGGACACGCTTCATTGTCTCACTTCTGAAGATCAATTTGTTAAAAAAAAATGCAAACAACAAACTGTTTCAAACTCTGCAACAAACCAATCTGTCACACTTCTGATTTGATTATAAAAACTTCTAAGCAAATTGACCTAAATTAAAATCTCACCAAAAAGAGATACATTTGCCTGGATGAAAGGGAAGGAAAAGAAGGAGAAAGAAATTTTAACTTGACAACTTACATTCTTGACAACTTAATTATTATTTAATGAGTTTTGCTGGCTACAATAAACTGCAGAGAGAGTGAAAAAATGAAAATGTGTTAAATAGAATTGCAATATAAACTTCAACTAAAGCTAATGCTAAAGAAGCTCAGCTTCAAGTTCAGCTAAATGTTTCATTGTCCCTGTAACTGTGCAATTAAAATGTAGTGATGCATCAATAATGGCATTTGTTTTTTTACACATATGTAGCTAAAGAGGCTAGGCTTAAAATGTACACCAGAGCATGGCTGTTTGCCAGCTGTGTGAGTGTGAGCAGGGGGCAAAAGTGATGACCTGTATTCAGTGACGACCTGCCACAGTTCTCTGCGAAAAGCAAATGCTCATCTTGAGTGTCCACTCTTAATGCAAGAGGTGTTACAGCAGTGTAGCATATGGAAAAGGACAGGGCCCGAGGGTAGAAGAGCCAGGTTCAGGTTGTTTTATTGCGGGAGCAATACAGACGTTTTGCTTGGGGACAGTTATCTTGGAGTCTGATGATCCGACACGCTCTCTCAACAGACTGCAAACAGCTTGGACTAAATGAAGTCACCAGGAAGGTCATACATACTGATTTGCACTTTTGTGTTACGCCAGCTCCATTATGGATGAGAATCAAAACATTTCTGCAAAACTTTCTTCCTTAAAACTCAATCTTTCTTTCTGTTTACCAAGTGAAGCCATTTAACTGAAAGGTTCTTGGCCCACCTAAGCTGTATGAAGTTAGCAAAGCGTTTGGTTTCCACCAATTACTTTCGGCTGGCAAAAGGGCTGGTGCAGTGTTAATAGACTGACCATAGTGGCATGAACTCAAATTCAGATAATTTGAACATTATTACCCAGCAATACCAGTGTAGAGAAAAAGTGAGAGAAAAACTACAAGAAAGCTTTTAGAGATCGATAGGAGAAAAGGGTGATGGTGGTGATGTCTAATTCCAAGGGAAATATACTTCTTATTAGCTTGGTGCCTGTCCTCTACCATTACCTATCACTGAAGACACCAGCTCTTAAAGGTAACACAGACACCTAATTTAATTTTGTAGAACAAATGTGTCGAACTCAGCTCATGGAGGGCCACTGTCCTGCAGAATTTAGCTCCAACCCTAATTAAACACACCTGATCCAGCAAATCAAGTCTTGATTGCCAGAAACTTCCAGGCAGGCGTGTTGGAGTTGGTTGGAGCTAAACTCAGGAGTCGAGTTTGATACGTGTTCTAGAAAAGTGAACTCCTAAATGTGACAATTCCCCTGCAAGGACCCCATATCTAATAAAAATTTAATTATTGTAATTTAATTTAATTTAATTTAATTACATTAAAAAATTCAATTTAACATTTGCATTTTTATACCACTTTTCTTTGAACATTTCCACACATTTCCATTTGAAAATCCCTTGATTATACAGTCATTCAGTAGTACACCAAAACTGTCACATACTGTACTGTCAGTGGATAGCAGATTGGGCCTGTCAGAGACGGTCTTTCTAACTGCAGATGTCATGCAGCACTTAATGGGGTTTCCTCCTTGTTATGCATGTCTCTCCAGAGCTTTGGGTTTAATGGCAAGCGATAGACTGCTGCTGCTTTCTGAAAGAAACTGTCCTATGTGGGCTGAGAGGGGCTCCCAGGGGGTTGATATTGCTCACAACACTATACTGTAATTTAGAGTTCTTTAGAGGTTGATCATGGTGGTACAGATAATTTTATCTGTACAGACCTAATGAACTTAAAAGAAGGGTCCAGTTTATTTATTTTTTGTTGCATCCTTTTTGCAGAATGATTTGTATTTTTGAGGTATACTGCAGCATAACTGACTGGAAAAAAATCCTCTGTACTTTTAAGTTTCAACCACAGATGGCGATAAAGAGACCCAAGTTCTGTAGTGCAGCTTTTGGAATAATGATGGTAGATTTGAAGCAGTGGAGGATCAAGTACACAAATCCTGTATACACCATGCAGTTGAAATGTCTGCTTACAATAAGTACATTCAAAAGTTTATTCAAGACTTTGTAGATTGTACAAGTACTTGTTTATAAGGACTACTATTTAGTTAGTCGATAAAGGTGAATGTCGGTGATGCTCAGATAATAATAATAATTTATGCATTTAGCAGACGCTTTTATCCAAAGCGACTTACAGTGCATTCAGGCTATACATTTTCTACCAGTATGTCAGAACAACTGACCTATATATATATATATGATCTATTATAAATCAGTGGTGCAGCAGCACACTCTAAAAAAACATTTGAGCTCTAAAAATAAACATTTTACTTCTGTTTCTTTGTTCATTTTGAAATGGGCAAGTCCAAACAGCAAATTGTTCAATTGAGAGTCGCTCCAATAGGATCACTGAATCAGTGAGTCGTTAACTGCTGCATTCAGATCAGTTAATTCACTGATGAATCATTAAATGGGATTTGTGAATCCATCCAATCGATTCATTAAAATAGAATGCTTAATTCGTGAATTGGACATTGCTTTCGCATCTTGGATTGGGTCATGATTTCTTCAGTTCTGAGTAACAGTGGATGGTAGGCTATGTTTTATTCCAATGTTACCCAAGATATTATTTTATCCTTTGGAATGTAGTAACTTATTATGCTTTTTTCAATCACAAACAAACACTTACCAGTACTAAATTAAAAAAACCCACAGGAAATAATGCTTTTCCTGACTGTCGAGGTTAGGTGAGATGAGGTCTCAAGTGCCTGAATGTGTTGAAAAATGATTGTTTCAATCTCGCTGGGGGATTAAGCTGTGGATGTCTCAAATGTGTTGAGTGGGTTGAAAGAGCTGAAACTACCTTCTTTGTCAAAACTCTATGAGCCATAATGGACAAACAATATGTGGGAAGACCAACTATAATAGTGTATTTGTAACGAATGCTTCAAAATTCTGAATCATATTTAATAGATTTTTCTGCTTCTTTTCTTTGACACATTGAAAAAAAAAAAGAGAAAAAAATTAAATATATATATATATATATTTGTTTTTGGTGAGATGTGTAGTTTTCTTTTTTTAAAGTTTTCTTACACTAACTTATCCACCATTATTGTTTTGTTAAGTGTTTACAGTTTAGCAGCTAAACTTTAGCTGTGGGCACGATTCGCTTGCATAAGTGTTAAACAAAATGTTTTTATGTCATTATTTTAAGAACTGATTAGCACTATATTATTGTTTTATGTGCATGCTAGGGTTGCCAGATTGTTACAACAAAACCCGCCCAATTGCTACTCAAAACTAGCCCAATAGTGTTTCGAGGGTGGTCCCCCATTCTGGGTGTAAAATACATGCTTTCAGTCGGGGTTCCCCTGGTAAATTCGCATTCCAGTGCCTAAATATGACGGTATTGCGGTGGCTACAACCCTCGACATCAAAAAACAACCGCGGACTTGGCAACACAGATGGTAGCGCTCGCTAACTTGCTCAAGTGCTCCTCTTTGTGCCAATCACAACAGGCTTGGCCAGCTGACCAATCAGAGCAGAGTAGGCTTATGGAAGGGAGGGGTTTACAGACATTTCGCTCAGAACTGTATCGAACGAACCGTTTCGAAAACATGGACAAATGACTCTATGTATAAATGTATTTTTGGGGGAAATTACACTGTTTTCTGACCTTAGATGCATTTAAACCTGTTGTAGGGGACTCCAACACAATATTAGCACACTTTTAAAAAATCATATGACCTGCTCTTTAAGCAATTTCAGTTATATGAAATTCAACTGGTTTTTTAAAGTCTGTTTAATGTCATTTAAGTTGAACTGTCTTGTACAATCAAGTTGATTGTACTTTTTGCATGTGTTTTCTTAAGTTGCAGCGCGTTGAGCTCTCTCGGCCACCGTACATTTCGCTCAGAACTGAATCGAACGAACCGTTTCGAAATCATGGACAAATGACTCTATGTATAAATTTATAATCTGGGAAAATTACAGTGTTTTCTGACCTTAGATGCATTTAAACGTGTTGTAGGGGACTCCAACACAATATTAGGACACTTTAATAAACCATATGACCTGCTCTTTAAGGCTTAAGAATCAAAACTAGTTAATGTGTTGATTTTTTTTTTTTACAGAATAAGCTAAACGGGACAGTTTAACAAGAATAAAAAGTTAAAATGAGTGTGATGCACTTTTTATTTTATGAACTGAACAAGAATACAACTCTAGCAGTTTAATGTATTAATGAGGAACATGAAAGTGTTTAAAGGTACAGGACACTTTCCACAGTAAATGGGGATTTACCATCTCTCTCTCTCTCTCTCTCTCTGTTTTATTTTCAGTCTCTCTGATTTCAGCTTAACATCAATACACATTGTTTATGCAATTTAACTGGTGCAAGCATGAAACACAGTGACAGCAGTTTATTTAACTAGGAAACAAAAGCTTTCAGATGGTCATGGTTGTGATGCCTTGCTGTTTTTAAATGGATTGAGCAAGGCATAAAAAGAACTGCGGCATAGATTTTATACACTAATGGGTAACACAAAAGGGGTTTGAGAGAGTCTGAGACAAAAGCGCGTTTTGTCATGTTAATGGCAGGAGTTTATCTTTTCGGGAAGACATAAGGTAATCTGTCTCTGTCTCTTTCATGCATTCTGTCTTTATCAAATGATTTCTGAAGTATAATGTCAATACTCATTAGCACAGAGCCTGTAGATGAAACATTATAGCCTGTCTCATAATAGCAGATAAATACACACACAGACACACATGCTGTCAATGAATTCTAATTATACACTTAGTACCATTACACATTACCCTTCTTATCTAAAACGAAATGAAATTGCCTAGCCAACCATATTCATTATTTATATGGAAATTCTTGCTTGGCAAATAGTACCATTCAGCATTTATTTTCAGTGAGCAACATTCCTGTGGGAGTTTTAATGGCCTGTTTCCAGAGCTCCATGCATGGACATAATAGCACCTGATTTTTTTAGACTCCTCTTTACCTCACATCTTTTCTTTCTGCTGACAATAAAATCTCTTCTTCATTTGTCACTAAATGTAGTGGAGGTTTTAAAGCTCAACTTCCTTTATAGAGTTCAGACAGGATGACATTTTTATTGCCCATCAAAGTTCAACTGTGAAGTTCTCAATATAGCCAGACAACATTTACTCTTAGACAGATGAAGAAAGACAGAGAGAACCCCTCACAAGACATCTCATCAATTAATCATAATAAATGACAGACACTGCATAGAAAACATCATGATAAAGATAACCAGTATACATTCATAGTTTGGTCTAAACAAACAAACTAAAAATTTCTCTTTGAAAGGTTTAGATATGTACACCACAGTAACTACAGATTAATAACAGATAGTATGTTTTGCATTTGATTTGCATGCTAGCTCTGTTAGTTAGGCATAGTTGTGTTTTATATCTGATATGCTATGTTAAGGGAATTATTTGTTTCCAATAAAGGGTTTATAAGTGTACTGATATACTACCATTCAAAAGTTTGAGGTTGGTTTTGATGTTTTTGAAAGAAGTCTCTAATGCTCACTAAGGTATCGTTCATTTGATCGATGAACATTTCACATTTCATTTCAGAGAAATGAGAAATGAACATTTCAGAGGAAAAACGGTAATATTGTGAAATATTATTACAATTTAAAATAGCTGTTTTCTATTTGAATATATTTTTAATATGAAATGGATTCCTATGATGGCAAAGCTGAATTTTCAGCAGTGGACTTTTTTTCAAATCGTTCTAATATGCTGATTTAGTGCTCAAGAAACATTTCTTTTTTAAAACTGTTGCTATTTATTTTTAATCAAATAAAGTCTCTGATTAATGAAACTTGGATCAAATGATCAGCATTAGTTTAAACAAAAATCTTTTGTAACATTATAAATATCTTTACTGTAACTGTCAAAAAAAAAACACTAACACCAAATGGGATAATTTGCAATAAATGACTGGCTGACTGAACATACCAATTATTACATAATTACTTAGCAATTAAATAAACAAATGGAATATTGATTTAAGTAGAGACTATTTCATTATCTGAGAAGAACCATGAAATGCAATAAGAACCATGAAACCTGCACACTGTTGAATTGGCTTCCAGGCACATGGCAACAAGTGATACATTACTCAAAACCTTTATACAACAATATTTGACCTCAGGATGCTGCGATTGACTCTTCATTTCTTTAGGGGTAAAACTTTTTTAATGAGGTGAAAAATACAGAGCGCACCTAGAGCGACACCTCAAACTGCAGTGAATATTCTCTCTCTCTCCACAGACATTTGGAAAGTAACAGCATAGAAATGATCTCCAAGAGGGCATTTTCGGGACTGATCTCTTTGCGTAAACTGTGAGTAATGTGTAAATGAATGGAACGAATGTGTGTGTGACTGTGCACTATTGTATCAGACACACATCATGTATAATGTGACATTGATCCTTCCCTGAGCTCCTGTTTAAATCATTGTGTAACTGTACATCACTGACTATCTGTCTATGTAATTATCAGCATCCCATCTGTTTCTTCCTATCAGTCAGCCTGAGGCTTTCATCATCCACCCATTCATGTAAAAGAAAAAGAAGGGACAGGAGGATGTAACAATGAGGATGGTGGATTGGGCTTGATTCAGGCAGAACAGATCCATGATCAAAGAATGAATTTGAATGCATCTTAATGCTGTTGTGTGTTTGTGTATGCTTCAATGTGTACCTGGGCTCTTACTTTCAGAGATGTGCTTCAATACATACATAGCTAATCAACATTAAACTTACACTAATCAGACAGCTAGTTAGGGAGAAGAGACATAAAGGAAGGAAGGAGGAACAGCAGTGATGGTCATACAGCAGATGGTCTTTGTAATGACACATTTAACAAAACTCATTTAAAGGGGTCATATGATGCTATTTTAAAGATCATTATTTTGTGTATTTGGTGTAACAGAATTGTGTTGACATGCTTTAATGTTCAAAAAACACATTATTTTTCAAATACTGTACATTATTGTAGGTCCTCTATGCCCCTCCAGCTCCCTCCTTTGACAAGCGCAGTCTGCTCTGATTGGCCAGCTGACCCAGTGCATTGTGATTGCACACAAGCATGCGTCGTAAATGTAACGCCCCTTACCATAATCGCGAGCTTCAGCTTTCAAAGTAAATATCAAGACAGTTAATAATGTTGTTAGTTTTACCATCAGTTCAAGCCAGACACATTGATGATGCAGTACACAAGCCGCGGTTAAGACAGCTGACATGCTATGATTTCTGACAGACAGTTCACTCTGCTGTGATGTGACCCTGTTCCCCTCACACACACACACACACACACACACACACGACGCGTTACTCTGCGCTGCGCAAAACTCCGCATTTGAGTCCGCAACAGTCAATAGCAAATACTTAAACTAATAACAAAACATACATACTTACAGTGGCAGAAGCGCCAGACTGTCATAGCAAAGTCGGAATTGACCCTTTTTTTTCTAGAAATAGCCTTTGTGCACAGCCAGCCTTGTACTCTTCTAGGTAAAAAAAACGTCCATAAAATGCGTTGCACAAATTCGAACATCTGGATTGTGCTGTTCTGTTGTAAATAAATCTTAACCAATGATATCTAATTGCATCTATTTCCGGAAGGCCAAATAAAGTGCTTTTGCTTTCGCACTGAAACACACAGCGTCTCCCTGACATGGCTGCATCAACACTACTGCTGTTCCTGAAACCACGCCTTCTGTCTTTGCGTGCACATTTGGGCGGCATTATGCTAATATTTCCACATAGTGACGTAGCTATGTAGGGGCGTGTTAGAATGAGCCGTTTTAGGTAGGCGTGGTTGACTCTTAACTTTTATAAAGAATATCTCTTTGGATTTGAGACTTTAGTCTTTGCAACTTTACAGATCTTCTTTATGCACCAAGAGCTTGTAACACTCCAAAGAGAAAGGAAAAATTGAAATCGCATCATATGACCCCTTTAAACATCATCACCTCCATTAATGTGGCCTTCTCTTTCTCTTTGTCTCATTCTGTCTCTCTCTTGTTTTTTTGTTTTTGCAGTTTTTTGAGTCAGAACAGAATTGCATCTCTGAAAGCAGGAATATTTAGTGACCTCAACAGTCTGGAGTGGCTGTAAGTAGAAAAACACAGACATGTACACACTCACATAGTGGATAAAATAGGATGATAAGTGTGATTCGGCTGGGAATCGCAATTTCTCTCTTATTCTTTGTATCATTAAAATTTTTTCCATTTGTTTCCTAGGCGCTTTTCCCCTCTTTTGCGCTTTTTGCTTGTTTTTTCTTTTTCTTTTTTCAATCAGACATAATTGATGGATTGTGTTCATTCTCTGTGAGAATGAATTTGCAGAATCATTCAAATGAATCTCTGCCCTGTCAGGGCTCAGACTTGGGGTTTCTGAGGAGAGGGTTATTTTCAGATGGTTCTCGGGGTCACTTTTCTTTTTATATTTTGTAATCTGTAATATGCATTATTTGATGTCTTTTTGTCTGTGTGTAGGATTCTGGATGAAAACAGACTTTCATCCCTGCGTCAGAAGTCTTTTGAAGGCCTGAAATCGTTATTTTTCCTGTAAGGATGACCTGCTAATTTACCTTGACAGACATATCAAAAAGATGACATTCGATATATGCAAAGCTATTGTGCATAGACCTATGAAAGCGTATGCCTGTTTTTCATTTATTGTAAAGTGATTTCTTTGTTGAATGTATTGTATCGCTCAACAGTGAGTATGTATATCTATGTATTTTGCAGGTCTTTATTAAATAACTCTGTCGAACAATTTCCTAAAACTTCGATTTGCCTTGAGATGCCCCGTCTCAACTGGCTGTGAGTTACAAACATAATACTTAATTGTCTTGATATCTTAAAACAGTGGATCTATGAAGTATTTGGACACATAAGAAACACTTAAACGTGAAGTAGATAGATCTAAAATATCAAAGCTAATGGCATTTATTTAAAAAAATGTTAGAGCACAAATACACTTTTTAAAGCAAAACATTTTACAGAAATATGTTTCTAATTATAGATGTACTATTAATGTAGATACCAATAAAAAAAGGACACTTTCCAGTTGTTGAACATTAGTGGACCATGGTTCTAGTTATTGTGATGAACTACACTTGGTTGCTCTGCTCAGGTCTCGTCTTGAGGGAATTGACTTTATACATCCACTAAAACATCCAGTTGGCTAAGAATAATATCAAAAATGGCAAGAAAATTTAAGCAAGTTCTGAGAAATGGTTCGGCTTCATTTGTTTGTGTACGGGCTGCCTGCATTAGCAGAAGGTTTGAAAGACGTGCCTACATGTTACTCTTATCACTGGTTCCTCTGGTGTTAGAAATATTTCTATCTGGCTTTCGTGCTTTTCAACTTTCCGACTTTGTTAATGGTAAAATGTGGGCAATAAGTGGGTCAGTTAATTTCGGAAGTACAAGCCTCTTATGCAGCTTTGTTTCAGTAAATGTGTTTTTTTTTTGTTTTTTTTTACCAGAGAGTAAGTTTTGAGTTCTGAGATTTACCCTATTTTTGTATCGTAATGAGCAAAACATTTGATTCCTCATAGTATGACCCCACTAAGTGTCCAAATATGTTTGGGGCCACTTTAGCTTTTTTTCTAAACCAAAATCTTTATATTTCATAAAGAATAATGTATTTAATTCCCCCACTCTACACACTCCGGTGATCAGCTGAAGTTGTTTGTTTCTGCAGGGAAATGGAGGGCAATAGAATTCCATCTCTCTGGGCGTCTAGTTTTAAGAACTGCTCCTCTCTTACTGTCTTGTGAGTATCCACAAACCATACATACACAGTAACATACAAAGTAAACTGCAGTGAGTGTTATGGGATCCATGGTATTTATATTGTAGACTGTTTATTTGTCACAGCTGAGTGTGGGAGAAGGGGACAGAAGTGGGACTCATCTACAGCTTCTTCTGAGTCTCTCAGCTCGGATGGAAGCACTTACAAATAAATGCAGATTTAGGTTGAACTGAATAGACCCGAGTAGATTAAAGACATCGGAAGTGAATAAATTACAATAATTACTCATGTTTTAGACGTACATGTTGATATGCATCATGAATATCTAGTGCAGTGGTGTAAGGCCTTTGATTTGATCTGTCAGTGACATTTGAAGGACAGTCTGTCCTGAAGGACCGAGCCTGCAACATCACGACCACATCTTCAACTACAGGCACTTTTATGTCCCAGAAGTTGTTTTTAATTAAAACTAACAAATTTTAATACTTCATTATTTATTTTAGCTATTTCCTTTTAATTATATATTTGGCTGTTTTACCCCAGGCACAGGAGTTCAATCTTAAACGATGAAAATCTAGAAAATTATGATAATGAATTAAAACATAGTAAGACCTGTGTGCAAACAGAATATGACTTATGTCCTATATCAAAATTATACAAAAAAGTGTGAAAATGCTACTGTTTTCCTCAAAATAATTTCACTTCCACCACAGAATGCAGAATCTATTGTGTATATAGATTTCACATAATCTGAGACATATGCAGAAAATATGCCATAAATTACTTAATTTTACTTTAATGCATGCATGTTGAACTTTTATTAGTTGACAAGTAAATTAATGTGAGTGTTTGCCACAAGCACAAAAGTGCTTATACAATAGTTAAAGAAACACTCCGGATGAAAATATAAATTTCACTGAAGTGTAAATTAATATTCCAGCATCTGAGAGGCTGAATTCTCTCTTCTACTCGTACGGTATGTTACTGAATCTTACATCGACTGAAGTGATAGTGTGTTTGTTGTGATATCTGATCCAGTTCAGTCACTCTGTTTCTCAATTCAAAGCTGTTTTAGTTATCAACACAGGCCAGATTTCTTCAAATATGTAATCTATTTCATGTCTTTTGATACGTCCAGTACTTTTCAGACCTAATCTAGGACAGTCAGTGTGTCCTTGTGTGCTCAAGCATTATGGAATTATGGCTCAAGCATCATGACTCAGATGGATAGTTCTTAAGTGTGATCTTCAGACTCACTTAAAGACCCAGCAAATAGGAAGAGCAGATTTACATATAGATGTATATGACTTCATTCTGCGGCACTGAAGGCCTTGGTGAATTGGGGTATATTTTTGAGGCAGTGCTACAATATATATGTCTTTTTCTGGTTTAGAGCATTGAGGAGAAATCGCATCGGCACCATTGAGGAGGGAACATTTGCCGACATGCAAAGATTGATAGACCTGTGAGTATATACACAAAGTCCCTAGATAAAAAATTTTTTCATCATTTTTTCAGTTCATTGCTTATATAAAATGTGTGCGCTGGAGAGAAAGAAAGAGATTGTATTTATGAGCCTTTTAAGGGTTAGTTCACCTTAAAATGAAAAAATCTGGCTCTTGTTCTCATTTACTTTCCCTTATGTTGTTCCAAACCTGTATTTCTTTCTTTCTTCTCCGGAACAGAAAAAAGGGATGAAAAATGTTTACATGGCTTTCTCCCATACTCAAAAATGTATAGTAATGAAAAGCAGAAAAGGGCAAAAGTTTGTATATATTCACAGCTAAGGTCAAGACCAAGAGTTAGAGTTAATAAGTTACGTTTTGCTCTTTCTTACAAAGCAGTCATATGGCTTTGGAAGTCTTGGAATATAGTGCACATGTTTCGTCTGTGAAGCACTTTTTCCCTGGTCTGGATGTGTTTTTGTTAAATAGAAAAAAACCCTACATTCTTCAGCACATCTTTTCCTGTCTTCTACGAAAGAAAGAAAGTTATACAGGTTTGAAACAACATGTGGGTGAATAAATGTTCATTTCTAGGTGAACTATATGGTGACCCTGTAGTGCACAGCATAACGAAATCTCCATGACACAACAAACACAATGAAATTAGCACAACACAACGGAAACAAGTCGCAACACATTGAAAACAAATCGTAACACAAAGGAAACAAATCGCAACACAAAGGAAGCACGTCGCAACACAACGGAAACAAGACGCAACACAATGAAATTAGCACAACACAACGGAAACAAGCCACAACACATTGAAAACAAATCGCAACACAGTGGAAAGAAGCCGCAACACAACAGAAACAAATCGCAACACAACGGAAACAAGCCACAGCACAATGGAAACAAGTCGCAACACAACGGAACAAGTCTCAACATAAAGGAAACAAGCCACAATACAACGAAATTAGCACAACACAACGAAAACAAGTCACAACACAATGGAAACAAGTCGCAACACATTGAAAACAAATCACAACACAGTGGAAACAAGCCACAACACAACAGAAACAAGTCGCAACACAACGGAAACAAGCCACAACACAATGGAAACAAGTCGCAACACAACGGAACAAGTCTCAACATAAAGGAAACAAGCCACAACACAACGAAATTAGCTCAACACAACGAAAACAAGTCACAACACAATGGAAACAAGTCGCAACACAACGGAAACAAGCCACAACACAACGGAATTAGCACAAAACAACGGAAACAAGCCGCAATACAACAAAATGAGCACAACACAACAAAATTAGTCCTATGTGTTGTGTTGTGGAGATTTTGTTGTGTTGTGCTCTTCTGGGTCACCATAGATCTATCCTCTTTAACAAATCTCTGCTGAGATTTGTGAGACAAAAAGAGAGACACCTGCTCAAATAATCTCAGCCTGATAAGCACAAACCTTGGAACAGAGCTTCAATTTGAAGATATTCTTTTTAGTTTAAGAATGATTAAGTTGAAAAATGAGCCGCTGAACTTGCTTTGACTTGATTTACAGAGACGTGTCTATGAACCAGATCAAAGACCTGCCTCCATCTCTGTTCCAGAACCTCCAGAACCTCAAACAGCTGTGAGAGCCACATTCTGCACTTTTTTTTTTTAATTTCTGTTGCAAATGGTGTTGTTTATAAGTTCTTGTTCCAAGCTTAAATGTTAAACCATATTTTTAAATGATTCATTGATTGGTTGAAAGCCTCGTCAGACGAAGTGACAGGCCTCATGAATCACAGAAGCAAAGTGTGGACTTCATCGATAACTATTTTACTATTTGTGTGTCTCTGTGTGTTTGTTTCAGAAATATTTCCAACAATCCCCTGACACACATATACGACAATCAATTTGACAGTCTGGTGAATCTGCAGTCACTGTGAGTAAACACAACATCATTTAAGTTATTATACTGATGATGTGTAGTAGGGGAGATCTTGTATTTATTTATGTGTGTGCACAATGTACATAGAAATCCACATCATATTTACATGCTCTTCACGTTCGATACATGACAACTGGTCTCAGCATGTGATCAAGCACAGACTGTTAATCAGAGAATAATTAAATATCTAAAGTCACAGTGAATGAGCTCTTTATACAGGCTCTGATTAGGCAGTCAATTATGGTTACAAACACATATTATTTTAATCTTAAATTATGGGTTTCATTTTAAGGGTAGGGTTTCGAAGAATGGGTAAAAGTTAGGTTACTTTGTGCCTGTTTTAATAAAGAACTTGCAGGTTTAACAAGCCTTCAGGGGCTGTCAATGATCCTTGCATTTTCCACACAGTGTCTTGGAGTGAAGTAGCTCAGTGTTGTCTTCACACTTCTGCTGTTTGAGCTCTGTAGACCTGCACCACATGATTTACAGAAGTAGGACATATTCCTGGATTGACATCATATGTTGTTTCTCAAAATTCTTTTCTTTCAGCCAATTATAGCCCCAGGCATGTTTAGTGCTTAGAGGACAAGGAGACACTTAAAATCCTTAGGTGAAAAGAAAAAAAGTTAAACAATGTTGACAAAGTAAAATTAGAGCTGTAATATAAAATGAAACTTTGGAAGAGTCACATATCAGAAAAATCTGAGTAGCAGGACATTACACAAAAGCAAGTCTCATTACTTTCTAGGCGCAACAACCAAGAGTGAGTTCAGCCAACCCCAGTGAGTTCTGCTGACCATGGTCAGAAATTAGCAAGGCTTTATCAGAAAAAGCAATAGAAAAAATTCCCCTGAATTCCTCATTTTTTTAGTCTTTGATGTTTGTATTCTATACTGATATTACACTATATTTAATTATATTGTAGTTCAGGACTGTCAAGTTTAGTATGTGTTTTAAGTATTTGATGTAAGTGAATGGCATGCTCTGTGTTTTAATATGGTTTTTAAAAAAATACCATTATAGAGGTAAAACTGCACCAGAAAATCAGTTTTAGGGTAAATATTGCCCCTGGTCGGAAAAAAAAAATAGAATTTTTTTTTCTGGTTGCTTGTGTGTTATTAACAATCGGAGAGAGAATTGGGCAGAGTAAATAAATAAATAACATATAAAAGCTAATTATCTTGCCTTTAGACAAATCGCAGTGAATGTTGTTTTGCAGTCAACATATGTAGATGAGCCTTTTTGTTTGTTCCTGTGTCTGCATTCATTGATATTTTTCTGGGAATTATGCCAGTAATTATTCAGTTGGCTTTTCTGGCCTACCATTCTTTGTTTTATTGGCTTTGAAAATGTACTTTTATTCTGGATAAAAAACACCCGATGAAGGTAAAATGTGCATCTGTCTATTCTGTGTGCAGGAGTATGGAAGAGGTAGAGATTCCCAACATCAGCATCAGAATGTTCCGACCCCTAACTAACCTCACTCACATGTAAGCATACTAAAATTTACAATGACATATATATTTTAAAATATATAATATATCCATTTATAATTTTATCTTTTGTACTTTCTTTGCTGTCTGTTCCATATTTTTATTTTTATATATGTTGATGCACTTGTATGCCCTCTATGGAGAGTTATCAGTATGTTCCAGACTTTCACATTTGCGCTTGAATTCCTCGTACTTCATAGTCTCTCATGAGTCAAGACAAACACAACAAAAATCTCCATTAAGCCAGTAAGTCACACAGCATGCCCTCTGAGCGAGATACAGAGAGAGGTCATTACTGTTGAATGTGCGCTGGATGGTAGCTGTCTGTCGCAGGGTGAATGATTACTGCATTTGAAAAGTCAAGCCCGCTGGTAAATACAGCTCAACTTTTTTGCCACAGGTGACAAGATTGCCATGCTTTCCTCAGCTTGAGAATTATCTTTAACTTTTCTTCAAGGGGTCATATGATGCAATTTAAATGTTTCCTTTCTCTTTGGAGTGTTACAAGCTCTTGGTGCATAAAGAAGATCTGTAAAGTTGCAAAGACTAAAGTCTCAAATCCAAAGAGATATTCTTTATAAAAGTTAAGAGTCAGCCACACCTACCTAAAACGGCTTGTTCTAACACGCCCCCACATGTCTACGTCACAATGTGGGAAGATTTGCATAATGCCGCCCAAATGTTCACGCAAAGAAAGAAGGCGTAACTTTAATTCTTGCTGTTGCCTGCCGCTGCCATGTTGTGAACATTTCCGTCACACGCTTGAGGCATTCGGCCAATCACAATGCACTGGATAGCTGGCCAATCAGAGCACACCTCGCTTTTTCAGACCGATGAGCTTTGTAAAAATCGACGCGTTTCAGAAAGGAGGGGCATAGAGGAGAAACAATAATGTACATTATATGGACAATAATGTGTTTTTTGAACCTTAAACCGTATAAACACATTGCATTACACCAAATACACAAAATAATGTTCTTTTTAGCAACATCATATGACCCCTTTCAATCAAATGTAATATCTCCAGAACAGATGTGTTCCCCTCTGGGGAAATGAAAATGAAATAAAAAAGTAGAAGAGTGTAGGCCCTTAGAGAGATTTTTAAATGGAAAGCCATCATTTCTTTATGATGAATCAGTCCCCTCCACACCAGCACTGAACAAAAGAGCCGCCGCGTGCCGAGGAGAGATGCTGCACTGAAGTCTTTAGAGCTCTGAAGCTCACGTTGAACCTGTCTGCACTTTGATGTGGAGATGAGGTTTTTGGGATTGTTATTTTGCAGATATCAGCTGCACTAGAAATTCACTTTTGATCTGAGACAGGGCCACTCTAGCAGACTGTGACCGTATCAGAAGGTTAGCTCTGCATTTTACAAACCTGTTGATGAGTTTGATGAGGGGTAAATGTGAACAGAACTGTTTGGGTGTGCTGTAGTGGCACATTTGTTTTAAGAACAGACGGAGGAACAGATACTCTGCTTGGGCTGAAGTGTTTGATTGTGCAGCAGGGTAAAGTGTTCATTCAGGTATAAGGATTAGGTAAAGGTTTTTATTTAAACGTGTTCAAGCATGGTATATTTTTTCTTAACAGATTAATTTTATTTTAACAGATTTATTTAATCTGTGGAGCACACACACACAAAATGAATTTGTAGGTGTATGATGATTATTTTGCCATATACTTAAAGTGAATAATAATAAAAGTGGTTTCATATGACTTGTGTGATATATTCCAAGTTCTCTGAATCCAAATGAAAGCTTTGTGTAACACTGAAATTTCAGCCATAAAAAGAGTCAAACAAAAGATCAGTGTTCACTGTTTAACAAACAAGTAGTCTTTTTTTAAATTGGGTATTTCCAAAGAAATATTTGTTCAGTTGTTTATGAATCAGACTAATCTGTTTTTTTGAATATTGTCTCAATGTTCACTGGTTAACAGCTCAATGAGTGGCTGATTTTCAAATGAGTCCTATTTAAAATGTCCATTTTGCAAAACTTTAGAAGTTGCATTGACTATTTTTTATCAAATGTTTATGACACGTTTGTCATGACACAACCCCAGTCCTCAGTCAACTTATTATACTGAAAAAAAGAGTAGTCAGGATACCTTTCTGGTTCCACAGAAGTCATACAGGTTTGGAAAGATATGCATTTTCATTTTTTAGTGAAAAATTCCATTAACCATTTTTCAACCACACATATGCAATTATGTGTAAAATAACTTAGTTTTTTTCTCTTTTTCTGTCATTTATGTATTGGACCGTTTCAGTTATTTTAAGCGTTTTGAATTCTGTGGATATTCTCCCAACGTGCGGAGCTGCAAACCAAACACAGACGGAATCTCATCCTTCGAGAATCTGCTGGCAAACATCATTCTGCGGGTGTTTGTCTGGGTCGTCGCCTTCATCATTTGCTTCGGAAACATCTTCGTAATCTGTCTGCGTTCCTGTTTTGCTTCTGAGAATCAACACCACACAATGGCCATCAAATCTCTTTGCTGTGAGTCCATTATGCATCAAACATGAGTGTGACACAACCAATATGCAGCTCCTACTCAACCCCAGTGAAGCTCAAATGATCAATCAGTCAAAATTAATTTCATGCATTAAAAAGTGAGCCAAAAACCTGAAAACTCAAAGTAGTTGTCTCACTACATCAGATAAGAGTGACATTTCTACACCTCCGCAATACTTATTACACCTAAAGTCAAAATAAAACAGCATTCACAGTCTATTTAGCATTACAATTTCAATAACTGTTTTGTATATTTATATATTTTTAAATGTAATTTATTCCTAAAGCTGCCATTACTCCAGTCTTCAGTGTCAATGATGCTTCAGAAATGATTCTAATATACTAATTAGCTGTTTAAGAAACAAACATTTATTTACATGATTAAATAATTTTAATAATGTTGAAAACAGTTTTGTGATAAATAGAAACCTCAAAAGAAAGCTCATTATTTAAATTACAATTTTAACAATATAAAAGTCTTTATTGTCCCTTAAAAAATTGAATGCATCCTTTCTGTGTAATGGTGGTGGCCCACAAAATAAAATAAAAAATAGAATTACATGAATTAATTAATTTGGGCAGGAGACAGGATTAAGCCTGACGAACAGAAATAAAGTAAATACTCTCAATAGCTCAAAGGAAAAACCTTCAGTTACAAAAATAATGATAATGATAATAATAACAGTTGTTTTCCCCCCACAACAGTTCTTTGATTGAATATAAAGGTTTTCTTCTAATTAAGAGTCACAACAAGAGAGTTCAGTTTCAGTATTATATTAACAAAAATAGTCGGGAAGAAAAGTTAACAAAAGTGGCTAAAGAATTCATTTCTTTCAAAAAAAAAAAAAAACATCTTATAGAATGTATATGTTTTTAGCATAACACTGATGAATAATCACGTCAGATATGTGTATTACTATTAGAGGTACATATTTGATGCTCAAAAGAAAGCTCATTATTTAAATTACAATTTTAACAATATAAAAGTCTTTATTGTCCCTTAAAAAATTGAATGCATCCTTTCTGTGTAATGGTGGCGGCCCACAAAATAAAAAAAAAAATAGAATTACATGAATTAATTAATTTGGGCAGGAGACAGGATTAAGCCTGACGAACAGAAATCAAGTAAATACTCTCAATAGCTCAAAGGAAAAACCTTCAGTTACAAAAATAATGATAATGATAATAATAACAGTTGTTTTCCCCCCACAACAGTTCTTTGATTGAATATAAAGGTTTTCTTCTAATTAAGAGTCACAACAAGAGAGTTCAGTTTCAGTATTATATTAACAAAAATAGTCGGGAAGAAAAGTTAACAAAAGTGGCTAAAGAATTCATTTCTTTCAAAAAAAAAAAAAAAAAAAAAAAAACATCTTATAGAATGTATATGTTTTTAGCATAACACTGATGAATAATCACGTCAGATATGTGTATTACTATTAGAGGTACATATTTGATTTCGTGTTAATATATAATCATCTACTTATGGAAAGTGAATCAAAGTTTGTAATGAAAACGTTGTTTGTTTGTTTTTTGAAATGGCACCGTGTCAATGCAGGGTCTAATTTTGGAAGTTCAAAGGCGTCAGACAAACAGGCTTAAAGGGTCGTAGTTCCCTCTAATTGCAGAATTTACACACACACACACACACACACACACACACACACACACGTGCCATTATACACACTCAGCTAATTATACACATCAACACATTGCTCTGAAACTCACTAAATTATACATCTATGCAGTATCACAAGCTTTTAATAAACATCAAAACACACACTCTTTCCCGCCCGCTGGGCAGATAAATAATTACAACAGTTGTTATCTTTAGATACACACACACACACACAGGGAGAGAGAGAGAGAGTTTGCTGACTTATGTACGACCTCGCTGACACATGAGGCACACTGCAACAACACGACTCATACCTGGACACACACACACACTTTCATTCAACAACAGAAATGGAAAGTGTTATTAGAAAAGGTTGGATCAGCTCGCGATATCTAGAGCTGTTCAGCTGAGGATCAGAGTCTGAGGACTAATCTGTGTCTCAGTGATGGAGAGAGATAGCAGACGGCAGGCTGAAAAGAGATGGATAGATGAACAGATGGCTGGAGAGGTGCAGTTTTTTAACCCACATAGAGTTGAAAGGACACGTCTCTCTGTTAAATTATCAAAACCTGCCGCCTCCTCAGATGAGAGACATGCAGAGAGAGGTAAGAGTTTACGATGTGGCTCTCCAGCTCTGGAGTTTCCCACTGGCTGACATTGGCTACAATATGTTTAGTAGTGATGGTGGAAGTTGGAGGGGGAGGGTTTAGCTGTCTCTGTAGGCCTTAAACATTCAGCTAGGACTAGAATAACACAGTATCATTGCTTACTTGCAAAAACCCATTCACAGTGTGTGAAACGTCTCACCTTGGAGGCTCTGATTTTGATGAATGAAAACCGAAGTGGGGAGAGACATCTGTGAGGGAAAGAAAATGATTTGGAGGCAGTGCAGTTAATGAAAGTGTGTGGGTGATTTGGTGCTTGTTAATTATTAGCTGAATCAACTGCTCAGCAGGTTTCTGAGACACACAAATAGAGAGAACTGCAAAAAAAAAAAAGAGACACAAACTGGCCTGACATTGCACACACCGCCAGAAGTAAAATAGCACAAAGAAATAGAACATGACTGACTGATGGATTATGAATAAACAGATGGATCAACATTATTTTAGTATTATTTATTTACTATTATAATATTTAGTAATATTTTGAATTAGCGTAAATTTATTTTACTTTTCATTTAAATTTTAGTTTACATTTGAGTGATTTTTATGTGCTTTTGTAATTTTTTTTATATATATATTTTTTTCTCTTTTTATTTCAGATATATACATTTTAGTACTTCGACTTACGTTTTCATCTATATTTAGATTTTGTTTTATTTCAGCTTTATTTAAATTATCAAAAAAAAATATTATTTTGTTTTAGTTAACAATAACAACATCGAAATGTATGTGCTGAATGTAGGGCCCTATGAAATCTGTTTTATTTTTTTTTTAAATTCTGTTTTTCCGTTAAAATTTTTCTGAATTCCAAATTTTTTTCTTTTGTTTAAATTTTTCTGGACTCTGTTTTAATGGTTACATTAAATTTTTTAATAAAAAAAACATGTCTAATTAATTAAAATCATGAAGCTTACACGATTTAACAGCAATTTATTAAAAGTTTAACAAAAATTTTATTTTAGGGCCCTACAAAATAAGTTTTATTTTTTTCTCAAATTCAGTTAGATTATTTAATTAATTACCAAATTCTGTGTTAGTTATTTTAATTTTCAAAAATGTAATTTTATTATTACATTTTATGAAGTTTATTCCTTAAAAAACAATGTTTTATTTTTGGTAGTAGTAGTACTATCACTACATTAAGTAATGTAGGCTATTTCGGTCACAGTTTCTTCAAGTTTAACCAAATCTTTTTTTTGTTTTTTGGACGGATTGCCATGAGGAACTTTACGTTTCTGTTAGTATATGATATGATGATAGTTTTTCTCAGAAGAAACTGCAAAATTCTCATGGAGTGACTTTTGCTTAATATTCACAGAAACTAGTCCATATCGTGTTTTAATTTAAGTGTACTGACTTTTGATTTATTCATTCAAAATTTTGCCTTATACAGTAAATTCGAATTTTATGACTGGATTCCGTTATTCAGTCCGCGTTTTAATCTTTTTTTTGTTTTTTGGACGGATTGCCATGAGGAACTTTACGTTTCTGTTAGTATATGATATGATGATAGTTTTTCTCAGAAGAAACTGCAAAATTCTCATGGAGTGACTTTTGCGGCTTAATATTCACAGAAACTAGTCCATATCGTGCTTTAATTTAAGTGTACTGACTTTTGATTTATTCATTCAAAATTTTGCCTTATACAGTAAATTCGAATTTTATGACTGGATTCCGTTATTCAGTCCGCGTTTTCCTAGTTTTCATAGGGCCCTACAAATGGATGCATGGACAGGCTAATGGATAGGTGGTTAGACAAGATTGTATGGCAGATGGGCTAATGGATAGAGGATGAATAGATGGGAATTGATATATAGATTAATGAACAGGTGTTAAATCATATATTAAGATGTATTTGTTTATCTCTAATAGGTGCCGACTGTCTCATGGGTGTGTATCTGCTTTTCATCGGTGCCTTTGACATCAAGTATTGCGGCGAGTACAACCGTCATGCACAGATATGGATGGAGAGTCTGTCTTGCCAGTTGATCGGCTCTCTGGCCATGTTGTCCACAGAGGTATCCGTCATGATGTTGACCTACATGACACTAGAGAAGTACCTGTGCATCGTCTTCCCATTCCAGCATTACCGTGCCGGACGAAAACAGACCCTGTGCTCACTGACCTTCATCTGGTTGCTAGGATTTATCATTGCCGTTATTCCCTTCTGGGATAAACAGACATTTGGGAATTTTTATGGGCGGAACGGAGTATGCTTCCCTCTTCACTCAGACCAGACAGAGAAACCTGGTGCCAGATCCTATTCTACAGCTATTTTTCTCGGTGAGGGCAGAGGGCATCGAAGTGTGTACGGTGTATGTTTGAGACCTGGATAAGCCAGTGTGTGTATTTGTGTCATTCTCTGGAGAGCTTTGAATTGGGCTTTTCCAGAGTTATTTAATAATTTTACTGCATTTCCCCAGAGATTCAACCACCTCTTTTTTAATAAAGTAAGCTCAGAAAAAGATCTTCCCTGGTAGCAACTTCACTAAAAAACGGAACTAAAAAAAGGTCTATAATCACAATTTTTCTAGTTTTCCAACAAAAGTATATAAACATCCTTAAGACATGATAAATCTCTTTGGAAAAACTGTATGAAATATTAGGATTTTTCTTCAGAGAATACATAAATTAAGTTGAATTAGCCTAAGTATTTTTAATTTCCCCATCGTCATTTATTTATCTTTAAATGGAGTAAGAAAACATCATTCAAAATGTGTCTAAACAGCTAATAAAACACAAGTCTATTTTCCTTATAGTATCTGTACTTTTAAAAAAAAAATAATAATAAAAAATTGCTTTCCAAGCAGATGTCTTGTTTTGAGTATGTTTACCGGATTTTTATTTTTTTTTAACTGGAAATCAAGGCAAAAATGCTGTCATGAAAAGCTGAACTAGCCCAAAGACAAAAGAAAAAAAAAATAATAATAAAATATGTGGCTAATGTAAAAAGACTAAATTGGTGAAATGAGTCAAATTCACATTTGTTGAATAGCTTATTTGGTTCAATACTTTTAACTTGATGTTACTAAATATTTATGTGTGTGTTTCTCTGTCAGGTCTGAATCTGCTGGCTTTCGTGGTGATTGTATTCTCCTACTCCAGTATGTTTTACTCCGTCCAGAAGACAGCGAAGACAGCGCGTCAAACAGTATTTGATCGAGAAGTCACTATTGCAAAGCGGTTTTTCTTCATTGTGTTCACTGATGCCATGTGCTGGATCCCCATCTTCCTCTTGAAGATACTATCACTACTAAGAGTACATATCGCTGGTAAGCAAACACGTGTGATCACATATTACAAGCAGAAGCAAATATGTGTGAAAGAACACGGCGACAGGATATTATTTTTCAGTGTGTCACTTAACTCATAATTGCCGTGACCGCAGTTTGGCTGCACATTAGCTAATGATCTGAATGAGGCAGCTCATTAATATTATACCATGGTGAAATGAGACCTGTGTATTGCAAAGCCTAGCCTGCTTTCCAGTTAATAAAACTGCAATTCCCCTGGTTTGCTCTTATGGATATGTAATGGATAAAGAAGGATTTTTTTATAGAGCTTTACATTCTCTGATCTGGCCTATCCACTAAATATTGATTTAATTTTTTTGCTTTGTGAACCTCAACACATTGCACAAGCACATTTACCCAATTACTATAAATAAAAATCAATTGCATCACATGGACTGACATCTAAACACATATACATCCACAAAAATTAAATATGAAACATTAATATGGAATATTAGAGTAGGTACACTGAATTTTTAGGGGTGAATATAAGGCACAAAGATGTCCCTTTAAGTGACAAGCTGTTGTACCCCTATACATTTATTTATATACTTTTATACTTTTTTGATTAGTAGATGGCTGAGGAGCCAAAGCCCTGGGTGACAATTAGACATTCAACCGCCATGAGCGCCCATGAACACTTATCAACTAGAATGGCTTTGCAGTTCTTCCCTTGGACAATACGGTTTAATCTGCACTTTCTTTTCTCTCTCTCTCTCTCTCTGTCTCCTCCAGGTACCCTCATTCTGTGGGTGGTGATTTTTATCCTTCCCATAAACAGTGCCCTGAACCCCATCCTGTACACTATCACAACCAGCGCCTTTCAGCAGAGACTCAAACAGTGTTTGAAATATCGCTGCCAGCAGACTAACTGACACACACACACACACACACACACACTATGCACATGCTCTGAGATTAATATTCCATGTGGAATAAAAGGTTAATAGATGACAGGATAATGACCACACACACAAGATGTTCTCATCCTCAGCACAAGCTAGTAAGGCTTATAAGAGCCTGTAGGGTTGAAGTAAGGAGAGCACACACGGCAACATTAACCAGCAGACCATCACAAACAATATACGCTTATGCAAGTAAAATCAAGCCTTATATGAAAAACAAATAAATTACATCTAACTGCCATATAGACCTAAAGTAGTGCGTGTATATGCAGGGTAAGCCAAACTCTGTGGCTGTCAGAGAATGCAGAGAGGAACGGTTCGGACGGACACCGGCGGGCTGAGGATTGGAACCCTTCCGACTGATTTAATTGCCTTTTTGTGTGCTTGTGCGGATGTGTTTGGGAAACAAAGAGGCAGTTGCATACAGTCAGGATAGAAAATGAACAAAAACTATAATGGTGGAGGGGAAGAAATGGATATAAAAAGATTTCTCAAAGATCACACTAAAACCAATCCTAGCACTTCATCTGTGAAAAAAATACAAAGAAATACAGATCATCATGGTGTTCATGTTGGCATCAAATGACAAATTTATTCCATATTGCTGTTATTAAGATTACAAGTTATTGTATGAGTCTATTATTTATGGAACTCACGGCTTTCATTTGTCTGCTGTAATTTGTCAGTTGTCTACAATATGTAAAATGAATGTAACATCCAAATAATTGCAATTAATAAATTATAATTACTTCATTACATTTCATTGCACCGGTTTGGCAGCACTATCTTCTGTTCCTTTACTCTGATGTATACTGTATATCTTACCACTAAATCAGGTTTTAAGAAAGATTTAGGATAGACTTCATTACCAGAGAGCAGTTTTACTGAATAAAGACGTTCATTGAGCTCCCTGGACTGCACAGTCCTAAACAGCATATGCAGGACCATCATCTGTCTACTGAGCTGGATGAAGGTTTGGGGTTAGACTTCATAAAGCCTGATCCAGATTTCAATGTATTCTGTTTAAAAGCTATTTACACAGGACATAAGTCTTAATTTGAAGAATTGATTGTTAGTTGGCATGCATTAGACTAGGGTTCTTCTTCTGATTCTTCAACACTGTCCTGCAAAGTTTAGCTCCAATTCTTCAGTATTCTTCAGTATTATTTGAAAATTATAAGCAGGTGTGTTTGATCAGGGTTGGATTATTTCACGGACATCATGACTCAAAAACAAACTAGAATATACAGCTCCATCCATCCATTTCATCAAACCACGGGGATCCTGAAGCCCATTCAAGAGTCCCCCTCGATGAATGGCCAGTCTATCGCAGGTTCCATTCACACTCATGTAGCATTTGGACCAATCAGACACACAACTTTTTGTTATATTTAACAAATAATATCTAACTCCCCCTCACCTAACCAAATGGCCAATTACGAGGGTCTATGGACCCTTCCCCCGAAATGCACCTAACACCTCAGAAAGGCAGAACAGGCCTCTGGTTCCATGGTAACCAATGCTGATATCACTGGTTTTATGGCCTAAAGGAATGCAGGCAGACAAACTCCCTCATTTTCCTCATAAGAAAGACACATAATGCCCAGAGAAATGGACTGTTCTCTAATTAATTCATAGGAAAACCTTTCTTTGATTGAATACACAAACTTGAGATGCCCTGTTGTGTCCCTATGTGCTTGGCTTGTTTAGATGCAGATGAAGTGGGGGTTTGAATTGGTACCGCTATTATAATTGGTAGAGTCTTTATGTATTTCATGCTTAATGGTATCAGTGTAAGGTTAATCTGATTTTAGCAAAGAAACCCTAATTTCAGTATTAAAGCATAAATCTGTCCTGACAAAGCGTAAGTCTGAATCTCAGCTCAGCGGCATGTCCAAACTGTACCATAATGTAATATGCTTTAGTGAAGAAATCACAAAATTGCAGTATTGTTTAAATTGTTTCTTTGAAGAAGAAATCTCAGTACAGTTATATCAAGGTAGATGTGAGCGCTGCTCCCCTTTCCACAGCATAAAGGCCTTATAGTTTATAATTAGATTGAAGAAATTCATCTACACTTTGACTGCATATATATAAGCCGAGCAACCTGGTGGTCATTACTGTGTTTCACTCGCTGAGTGAAATTAAAGGTGTAATACTGTACTTTAGTACTCATATGTGAGGCAAACATAACTACATATATGTTTAAACCGGTTTTAACTTACAGTAAACACGTTTTGTAATTCTTTAAACAAGTGCAAGAAGTTTATTGTTGCATTAGAGAAGCACTCACCGAAATGCTTAGGTAATACAACAAGTCTTGAAGGCTGAAAGCACCACGTTCTAAAACTATGACTGTTTAACATAGACAGACATTAAACTGCATTAATTACACGGGCATGCATTGGTTACCGTGACAACAACTTGTCACAGGAAGTGCTAACGTCACATAGCACAACACGCCATGTTTGTAAACAAACCATTTGAAGCAGCTAAGCTAACACGACTTAGCATAGTTTCATTTTAGGCTAAGCTACCAAATAGCTTTAACAATTAGGGGTTAACACTCTTTATTTGAAGCTTTTAAATACAGATGTGTGTGTGCAGTGTGAAGCAATTTGAATTTAACCTAATCCCTCGTTTCTGATTTTTCCATTTCTCTTCCTTCTTTTTCTTCTTTTTCTATGTTTCTCAATCTTCAATTCATCTCAGCGAATTTAACTATCTTAGATGTATCCTTCCTGAATGCTATTGCTCAGTTACTAGTTAATTAAATCTAAATTTAATAATTCATTCTTTATGCCTCTTTCTATGCTGAGTTAAACTTGAACCCTTTCCTATACCAACTGTATGTGTGTGTGTATGTGTATGTTAGACCAGCTTAATGTGTTTATGTAGTATGTTAGACTAGTTTAAGTGTTTATGTAGTTAATAAAACCTTACTTGTATCACACTTGACGTGTTCATTGTTTGTTCATAACCGGAGTCACTAATCATGCAGATTAACGTTACAAGCTTGTAGAATTGTACAGTAAGAAAGTTATTTCCCTTAACCAGGAAATTAACGTTCTTGGAATTGACAAGACAGTTGACCCTGAGAGGTCAGCTAAATATCTACAGCGGATCTAAAATATGAATAGTTAATTATAACTAGTTATGGTTAATTATTCATATTTCCCCATGAGCTGATTCGCTACACTCACATCTGAGTGTTTCCAGTTCACCTGACATGCATGTATTTAGATTGTGGGGAAATCTCTTATCTTACCTGCTACAAAACGCCTTTAAACAAGAATTTGACTGCAGAAATATGGAAAATCCAGTGACTACGCTCTTTGCTTCAACCCAGTACTTTAGAAACACATTTTTGTTTCCATGCACTGAAATTACCTAAATGCCAACCTATCATATTTGTCTGCTATATGGATCAGACTATGGGCATGTCATGTGAGGCTGAAACTAGGCTTTGTTTTGATCTCCCAGCTATTATTTTCAATGGGTCCTCAAATCAGCAGTGGAGGCTCATTTTAATAATGCATCTGTATAATGACCTTAGACTGATTTTAATGCTTATAATATTGCGTCAGTAACAACTAATGCTACATTTGATCCAGTTACAAAAATTGTTTCAAGTATATTCTGACATGACATAAACAGAATGTTACAAGAAATCCTTTCTAACAGGCCTGAAATGTGGCCTCAATTATTTTTTCTATCACCTGAGCCAGCCAAGCTATCAGACAATATATTTATCTAATCGATACAGATGAGACACAATCAAGACAGAAGAGAGAAAAGGAGAGGGTGCAAGAGCAAGAAAGAGAGCGAGAGAGAGAGAGTGAAAACATCGCAGTAAATCAAAAACCAACCTCATCTGTGACCCTATGAATAAAACTTGCAGAATGCATTTATGTGACCTGCCACATCAAGCGCTACAGGGAACATTTTAAAGGGAGTCAAATCAATCTATATTCTTTCTATGCGTTATGCTGTAATCTGTAGCAGGGGATAACACAGAGAAGGAAGCACAAAAGAACAAGGAAATTAATTACTCTTCAAAAGACCACTTGCCTGTGAATAGCTTTGAGCCAAGCTGCTTGAAAGAACAGGAAACCACTTCCTGGTTTCTAGGCAGGTGATCAACAGGATGTTACATTACATTATTCCTAATTTAGGACATGCTACATTATCCAAAGCCACTTTGAATTGGGAAACCCTCATTTGGGGTATCCTGGGTTTAGTGGGTAAGTGCCTTGCTTAAACAGACATTGGTCCTCATGAATGTATCTTCTCAAGTATATACCTTGTTTAACAGATTTTTATTTATTAGATTTTTTTTAGATATTTTTACTGGAAAACAAAATAAAAAAACAAAACATTTAGGTTATTTATAAAATTATCCTGGTTAAAGCAGAGCCACTGGAAAAATGAATTGCCACAAGCACACTTGCTGGTAAGTTGATGAAATGACAAAATATATATATTTTTTTTGACATTTATCGCATTAGATGATCTCTCATGAATATTCATTAGTGGTACTTTATGTAGTATTGGTTATTTTATCGCTAAAAGCTAGGTAAATTCCAGTAGCACACAATTTTTGGTTGTTTTAGCATTGTCCTTCAACACATTGGATTTGAAACGACATTAGAAGTTTAAAATGCAGACTTTCAGCTTTAGTACAAGGGCATTATTTGTTCATTAAACTAAAAAAAATCTGCAACCAAACCTAGATATGATTTTATTTAGATGAACAAGAACTTGTGCAATGAATGTTGGGTCTCTAAAAATGACAGTCTGTCAAATGGCTATACTTACTACATGGTTCACGTGATACGTCTGGAAATACTCAGAAACTTAAGAAAAATTAAGCTCTTACTTTTCTAATCTTTACCTCAACAGGCTCGACTAAACTTAAAACCCATTTCTCTGGGGCCCGTGACATGGCCTGTTTTCAGTGGTGGAATGTAAATTACATTCACTCAATACTGTACTCATCTAAGGTACTTGTAATTGAGTATTTTGAAGTGTGAATGTTTTTGCTACCATTGTATGATTCAGATTTTCATTCTGTGCTTCTTTTGGAAATACTCAGAAACTTAAGAAAAATTAAGCTCTTACTTTTCTAATCTTTACCTTAGAAAAGAGGCTCGACTAAACTTAAAACCCATTTCTCTGGGGCCCGTGACATGGCCTGTTTTCAGTGGTGGAATGTAAATTACATTCACTCATACTGTACTCATCTAAGGTACTTGTAATTGAGTATTTTGAAGTGTGAATGTTTTTGCTACCATTGTATGATTCAGATTTTCATTCTGTGCTTCTTGTATGAGCGTCTGAGGATGTTTTGAGCATCCAGTCATCATCCAGTAAAGTTTATCGAGCACTCATGGTCAGGTGTCCTTTTCTGGCTACTGTTGTGTTGAAATAAATAATGCAATGACTATTTTTGAACACATTTATGCCTTTCTTAGCCTGCTTACTTCGTTCTTTCTC